AAAGTAACCAAGAACAACTAGCATGTACAAGACCCTGGGTTTCAGCCCCAACACAGCACAAAAGGACAGCTCCAGGGTGTGGGAGCTCAGTGCGAGAGTGCTAACCTGGCACTTGAAAAACCCTGGGAGATTCCCTTTACTACAAAATCTGGCGCTAGGTTCAATCTCCAACACCAAGGAAAAACTAAATAAAGCAGAGTGGCTGGCTCCAGGCTGTGGGGAAGGGATACCAGGCACAGGCCTGCCCATGGGGTGGGTCCCATACTCTCACCTGGTGAGGATCTCCAACTCTGAGTAACTTGCCTAAGAGAATGGAGGTTGGGGGGATGTGGTGGGAGGTGAACAGGGGGGAGGACACAGATGATGACACTGCATGCTTGATACAGGCTGGGGCTGTGGAGCTTCTGGACAGAGGGACAACTGGATACACTGTAACAGGCATGTGTCCCATCCGCCCCCCCCCCCTCCGCAGATGACACTCATAGGAAAAAAAAAAAACAGCTTAGTTGTTTCTTTGTAAATGTCAGTATTTTGAGATATATAACATAGTCCTTAACTCTGCCACTGGTTAATGGGGTCTTTGTTTAGTTTTATTTTGAAACAGTTTCAAGAATATGTAACCCAGGCTGGCCTTATACTCACCATCCTCCTGCCTCAGTTTCTCAAGAGCTGGGATAACAGTATGAACCACCATGTGAATCTCCTTCATTTTAATACATAAAACAGTATGTGAGCAAGTTCCTGTGGAGTAAAAGCAGTGTTCTGAGAAGTTCACCACTTTTCTCCAGGACAAGGACCGTTTCTGAGACAGTAAGACAGAGGATGCACTCTGAGAGGTGTGACTAAGCTCTGCCCAGCAGGGGGAGTTAAAGTCAAGCGCAATTTTTTTCCCAGCAACTATTTCACAGCAGTGGTAAGGTGCCATTAACAAGGTCCAGGAAGCTTCCATACCTGTACTGGATCTCTCACCCCTCCTAAGATCAGAGGCAAAGATGACCTTTGCCATCAACTCCAGGACCCAAGAGCTACAGGGGAGGGAGCGGGAGATGTGGGGCCCCTAGAAATCCTCTACCTTCAGCACAGGTCAACAGTCAGTGTCCTGTGTTGTCGTCTAACAATGACAGCATGCATAACTCTAGGCTGACATTCCCCTTCAGCATTCTGTAAATGTACTCAAATTGCTTATGCATTGTTATTTATTGTATTTATGGAGTCTCGATTTTCCAAGTACATTATTCTCTCCTGACTCTAATATATGAGTTTGAAATGACAAGCGTTGCAACATTCAACACAAAATGAGCTCCGAATTAGAGATGTGAGTCTTCAGATGTGGGGATAGAAATGTCCAGAAAGCCACTTGAAGTCTGCGTATTTAAAATGTCAAATAATAGAGAGGGTTAGTGGAATTTAATGAGTTACAGCCTCATGTTCTTTAAAATAGTTTCTGCCACAGAAAGGCTACTCAGACTGTAAAACCCCCAGGGAGGAGAGCCTTGCGTGCCCACATCATGAACACTGTCTATTTCTAACTACAGGCTTTCAAACTGTTCACTGGTCACATCTAACCAGGGGTAACTCAGGTGCCTGGCCAGTCACTCAAAAAGATTTTGCTCAGTTCCCAGGGCAGCCTCTGGCCCACGATTCCCAAAAGGTCTGCTCCTATGTTCTAGGACATGTGTAGCCCTGGAGAGAGAGTCCCTACTGGGCAGGAGAATGAGTACACACCAGGGGACAGCTGGCCTGCCTGCCAGTGTAGCGGGTCCCCAGAAGCATGCTGGAAAGAAATCTAAACAAATCAAGCAGTCCACAGCCGAGAGAGTGACCAGGCACTAAAACAAAAGGTGGTCTGGGGCTTTTCAGTTCTGGGCTTAAGAACATGGCATTCGGTCTTATCCAAGAATGTGTGGAACTAACCCAAGTTGGTCCTGTTGCCCTGAGGGACAGAATATGTGTGGCTTTTCCAAGCAGTCAGGGCCACTGGCCAGTCCCTGATGTGTTCAGGTCCCCTCAAGGCTCCCTCATACAAGGCTTTCTCAAAATAATTTCCCAAGCAAATGATGGTGCTACACATGGCAGACAGACAACAGGAGTCTAGTGCTGCAGGACTCTGAGCAATGACTTTGCTCCAGCACCATCCAGCCCAGGTCCCTGTCAGTACTGAACAGATCCCTAAGGGACTGGGACTCATTCTGAACCAAGGGTAACATATTGTGCTGCAGCCACGCCATCTCCTTGTCTACACTCCGCAGGCACTCCCCTAAAGTTGGTCCATCAGAGTATACAGGGAATGAACAGCTGACAGACCAGCAGGCAGATCCACGGGAAGTGTATACGTACACGTCCACAAGGAATAACTCGTTTTGCAGAGCTGCGGGAACACTTCTCTTGGAAAAGTCGCCATCATCTCTGTGGAAACCTTGTGAAGCCGTGATTCTTCCCTTTGAAATGGGAGTTGACTTCTGTACAGAGTGACCTTGCTCCGTTTCCCCTCTACCACTAGACGCTCACTCTTTGTTCTAGCAGTAAAATTTACATAGAGTCAATCCCATAAAATTGAAGACTTGCACTGAGTGGGAAGACAGCATGCCCCACCTTTGCTAACAAACAAATCTGGGCGTCCCCAAAGCTGGTTATCACCAAAAAGATTAGATGAGGAGAATGGGTGAAGCCAGGATCCAGGGGTATTTAGTAACTTTATCTAGTTGTTTGGATTGCCAGATACTTCCTCTTGAACTCTGGCTTTTCCTGGGTTGGGTCACCTGTTCCTGTTCTGGGGTACAACTTTGTCAGGTTCTACCTGCCCTCTTTGTGATTTTGATATGCATACTGTCATTGTCCTTGCCTATGGAATTTTCCAACTAAGTATGTAAAAAACTAGAAACCTCGTGGAGATTAGCCCTTACTCTTCTTTCTTCTTATTCTTCTCCACGCCCTTTCACTTCACTTTCTCCCCTCGCATGAAAAATAAGGAACACAGAGGTAACATATTTGAGTTAAGTAAAAAAAAAAACCTCAGATCCTCGCCTGCCATAGACATTCAATTCTGAGCCCTGAGGGGGTATTAAGGCTCGTACTCAGGGCTCCTATACCCCCAATGTCCACTATGAAGTAGGAGATTGTTCAAGGTTTGGAAACACTCAGTCTGAGGCCAGAGGCAAGAAGCCTGTTATCCAAGCAGAGCTTCCTAGAGGCCAGGAGCATGGCTGGAAAATCCAGGAACCCAGGCTCAGTGCTAGGAGACCCAGGGCACAATCCAATCCTGCAGGGAGCAGAGAGTCCCCACCACCCCACCCAAAAGGAAGATGTTCCTTCAGTGTCTCTTGGTTGCTACAATCTAGATAGTGCTTGCTCACTGTGGCCTTGCCCTGGAATTGGTCATCTCATGCTACCTCAGACCACAAGACGTCCCATCCTCAGGACTCCTCATGCTTGACTTGGACTTAGTGAAGGATCCAATCCTGCACTGCAGCTCTACACAGGTGGGGCCTTGAGAACTATAATTCTATCAATTTCACCTGCAATTTGGTAAATCAGCTTTGAGACAGTCTGGTGTAACCCAAGGGCCTCAAATTCACTATGCAACAAGGGTAGTTTTGAGCTCCTGATCCTCCTGCTTCCACCTAAGTGCTGAGATTACAGATGTGCAACATCATGCCCGGTTTATGTGATGTGGAGATCAAAGGGCCTCATGCATGCCAAACAAGCATATTACTAACTGAGCTAGAGCCTAGCCCATAGCTTCTTTTTAAGTGTTTATTATTTATACTCATGTGTATATGTGCAAGTCTCTGTGTGTGAATACGCACATGAGTCCAAATGTCCGTGGAAGTCAGAGGCATTAGGTCCCCTGGAGCTGGAGTTTCAGGGCACTGTGAGCGGCCCACAGCTTCTTTCCTCTTTGACAGATTCTCTAGTGTCAAGGCGAAAGAAAACTTCTAAACCTTTTGTTACAGAGCCTTTTGGAAAACTCACTAATGGCACATTTCTGTCTATCTAGGAATTCTAGAGGAAACCAGATTCCTCTTAGCAAATGAAACCCAGATGGAATATTTTAGTGTTTCTTTAGAGGCCACAACAGTGGGGACATGTAGCTCAGTGCTCAGGATCCCCAGTCCAGTTCCCAGTGCAGAACTGTGTGCCCTTTCCCCAGCTCATCAGACGCCTCAGAATCCAACAAATCCAATAAACAGTGAGCATCTTATTCCTTTTTTTCTTGCAGGGGACAGCCAAATGACCCACACCTGAAACAACGGATGCTAAGGAGGAGGAATATGAAGGCAAGCCCGAAGTTACAGCAGTACTGCATCTCACTTCAGGCCTCCTCCTGTTCATCTTGCAGATAAATTAGTTTAAATAAAAAAAAAAGTTACCTTGGGAAAAAAAATCCTCTTAAAATGAGATACAAGAGCGCCACCCTGTGGTGATTCTCTTTCATCATCTCTGTCTATGTTTCCCACCACGGTCCGTATTTTCCTTCTAACAAGGTCACATGTATGAACACCTGTGGCAGCACATCACCCAGAAAGTGCATGTGACATCTGAAAAGGGGAGCCTCTCTGAGGCAACCCTGACACCCCAACCAAGGAAACTTGGTGAAGGTGGAGGGGTGCCTAACTGGAAGGTCCAGGGTAAGGGGTCTCAGAGAGGGTGATCCCACACACAGTCCTCAGAAGAGGCAGGTGCCAAGCTTCAGGGACAGCTTCTTCCTGGTTTAGGCCTGGTCTTTACCAGGAACCCTGGAAGTGCTGCGGCCCCGATCGCTGGTCACTGACCTGGAAGAATAGGGACAGATTCTAATGGAGAACAAGGGTTACTGGGAAGCCCTGAGCTGTTGCTGCTTCTGTGTCCTCTGCAATAGAGTGGGCCAGAACTTGATGCTGGTTGATATACTGGTGAAACCTGAGTGCCTAGCTGTCCCTCGAAGGTACCCCACTAACAACCAAGCCCACAAAGATGGACAAAGTCCAGAACAAAAAAGTTGACTGGTGGTAGTGGTTTTTTTTTTTTTTTTTGTCTTTTTGTTTTGGCAAAACAACATCATACTGTTTATTACAGGTGTTACAGGTGTGCCTTTTATCCCCACTGACAAAAATCACTTTGATTCTGCATTGCTACGCTGAGAATTAACATGTAATATAGTCATTAAACATAACAGCATCATTTTGGGGTCAGTAGTATTGTGCCCTTGTTGTTTCCCCAAGGTCTCAGCTTCATGAGTTAAAGTCTTGATGTCTCCCCAAGTTACTGGCTTACTCTTCTTCTTAGGACGCCTCCTCTTGATGAGTTTGTCATCTACCTTCGGTTGCTTCGTTTGTCCAGGGGTCTCTGGGGTGCTCTCCTGGTTGGATGCCTCAGGACGGGAAGAGCCACCTGGCACTTCGCTCGTTTTATCGGGGCCACCAGGCACTGGCGGAGTATCAGAAGGTCCTGAAGGTACTCGGTATGGATTATTTGGAGTAGAACAGGGTCCTGGTGTGGGATATGATCCTGCAGGGGCAGTATATGGTGCTGGTGGTCCCCAGGCTTCCGGTGGCACAGTACCCCATGGAACAGGCAGTGCTCCTGACACTGGAGGAAGAGCTGTGGGATGCTGCCCTCCCATTCCTGATGCCCAAAGTCCAGAAGACACAGATCCCCGTGGACCTAAAGAACCAGCTGCAGCTGGATCTGGGGGTGCACCATATGGCTTAGGTAGCTCTGGAAAGGGCATATTTGGTGTAGCATATGGCCCTGTGGGACCAGGGCCCCGTATAGCAGGGGCTGGATAAGGACCACTAGGTTGGGGACATGAGGGTCCAGGAGGAAGAAAGGATGCTGGGGTTCCTGGTGGTGGTCCAGTTGGAGGAATGGAGGGATATATTCCTGTTGGTGCTGGTCGAAAAGGCAAAGCAGAGGGTGCTGAACTTAGTGGGAGTCCAGACAGCACAGCTGGTGGCGCACTTAGGTTACTCCGAGGGCCAGAGCCTAGCCAGCCTTGAGGAGCAGGGCCAGCTTTTATGTTGCTCACATATGCCAACAAAAATTCATCTGACATTCTCCCAGCAGGACCTAAACCTGAAGCATGACGCATAGTGGCGATGAATCCGAAGAGACAGGCAATGGAGAAACGACCTGAGCAAGCTGACGCTTAAATCTGCTTCATAAAGGAAACTTTGTCCTAAACAAAACAAAACAAAACAAAACAACTGGTTGGTTAGATCCCATTTTGAACCTTTAGTTGTCTGGCTACTTTTCCAAAATGAAGAAAAGGCCTGGGAAAGGCTCAAGTGGTGGAGACTGGATGGCTGGGACAGAGAAAGGAGGGGCCAGGCTGTAGGGAATGGGGTAAGGACAACATCTACAGAGCAGGTATGGAGAGAGATGGTTCTAGAAATGTCTCCACTCTTAATTCTGGAAAATAGTCTTGTAAATTGATTTTAAAGACGTAACCTAGTAAAAATTCTAGTAGAGTGGAAATCCCCAAATTAAGAAAGAAGAACATTTACAAAAAAACTAATGTTGGCTTCTTCCTGACTGGTGAGACAGTAAATTATTTCTACTTGCGATCAGGAAGTACAAGACTGGGAGCCAATGTCACCACTCCTACTTGGCATCATAGAAGTCCCAGCTAATAGGAACTAAAAGAATACTGAAGGGAAAGAAAATGTAGGGAGATGAACAAAGGAAACAGTCTCTATTCCAATTATTCAGCTGTCTGTGTGGAAAGTTGCAACGAATGAACAACAGAAACACCTCCTGGAAGATATAAGTGATCACAGCCAGGCTGCATGAGTCACCACACAAAATCCCAAGCCTTCCTGTGTACCAGTCCTACAAGAGTGCAAAGCACCAAAAGGGTTAACATCAGAATTCCAGAATCATAAAGACAGCAAAATCGACACTACCTAACTTCAAATAAGGCTATATGGTGACAAAAGGTAAAACAGCATTATACTAAGTGAATAAAAACAATGGGATAGAATAGCTAGTCCAGAATTAGGATCACACAAGATCCTTTGATGAAGGAGCTAAGACATAGCAATGGTACAAAGAATGCCTATTTCACAAAAGGTGCTGAAATCGCCAGATGTCCACAGACCAAAGCAAGTAACTCAGCCAAATATGGACTCCTCTCACAAAAGTAGATCAAACAGATTACAGACCTAAAGGCCAGGCATAATAAACACAGAATACTTAAAAAGAAAAAAAAATAGACAAGACCTTTGTGACCTCAGGTTTGGCGATGAGTTTTTTAGACACAATACCAAAATCACAATTGTGGAAGAAAACTAAGCTGGAGTTCTCTAAAATGTAAAGCTTCCACTATGTGAAAACCTGTCAAAGACGGAAAGAAATGGTCGGGCTGTCCAAGAGACAAAATATACAGTGTATTGCCATTGTCCGTGATTATCACCACTCCCCAGGAGGGGAAGGTAAGCCCCTATTGATAAAGATACCATGCACTGAAGATAGCTGTTCAGAAAATAGGCCCAGAGATCCCTGACCTAGAACTGACCTAAATGCCCCCTCGTTGAGGGCTAGCTTTCATGGTACAAGAAGACACTGTGCAAGCTTCCAAAGGAGGGAGTTAACCAACAGTCCTACCCAGCTGTGACACTTATGAACCACATCGATGACCAGCAGGTCACAATAACCCTATGGGTACAATAGTGGCGCACAAACCTTGGCAGTAACCAGTAGCTCCCTAACTGGACTCATTCAAAGAGAAAGAAATGAGGCCTAGTACCGGAGACCTAGCCAACTACTCAAGTACCTGTGAAGCTATAGATATTTGAGGAGAATCTACAACCACAAATTTACTAAACCACCATAATCCCTAACAATAATCTAAACATGTCTGTTTTTATACCCAAAGATAAGTGTAGTCTTCAACCATCATCAAGGAAACTTCTGTTTGCAACAGAGTCCACTACAGAAAAGCACAACCAATCAAAATGCAGTTGTAGAGCCCAGTCCCAGTGAATACATGTACAAAACACTCCTGCACCTAAGGCTCAGAGAACATTGTAGAAGAGGGGGCAGAAAGACTGTAAGAACTAGATGATCAGGAAGTTAGTTGGCTGTAAGAGTGTGTCTTCTGGCAATATCAGAAGCTACATCCATAACGTTTCACCAACATGACTTCCCAAACATGAGTTGAAAAAGGACAGCACCAATGGACATGCCAAAGTGGACAGCCCACAAAGCCCCAACCCTACACAAAGAACTAGAGGCAGCTGAGGAAAGCTGGCAATGGGAGAGGTTGTCTTCCCTAGGGAAGGGCACACTAACTGGTTGTCTAGCGCCAAACGGTCAGCCCTGAAAACATATATGCAGGTAGCATCATATAATATTAGGAACATATATCTATACACATATATACATACAATAGCAATTATTTTAAAAGGAGGTCATAAACTTGAGGGAGAGTGGGAAAGGGTACATGGGAGGGTTTGAGGGAGAAGAGTTGCAATTATAATCTCAAAAATTAAATAAAATAATATCCCTGGTAAAGAGTTAGTGTCAACAACCACAAGGAACCCAGAGAAAGGAGGGTGGTTGATATACTGGCTTATTCAGCTACTCTAACAAATTGCCCATGACTTTCATGACTTTCAGCAACAGAAGTGTGCTCTTCCTCAGCTCAGGATATCAGACGTTCACAAGCAGCCTCACTGTGGGCTTGGCTAGCCTTCTTCCAGGAGGTTCTAAAGTCCTTCCTTCGGCCTTCTAGACAACTAGACTACATCACTGTGGTAGCACCGGGAGTCACCATCTCACCTGCTCCGCTGTTTTTCTCCCTTTGCCTCTACAATAAGATCACTTTCCAGGGTACCCGGGGTTACAGATAACCAGGTCATCATCTCAAGACCATCAACTTGGACTGGAGAGATGGCTCAACAGTTAACTGAACCCTGGCTGCTCAGGAACTAGACAGATGTGATACACAGATATAATGCAAACAAAATACCCATATGCATAATAAATAAATAATTTTTAAAAATCTCTCAGCTTGATTATATCCAAAACCTCATGTGCCAATGAGGTCGCACTCACAGTTCAGGGAATGGAAGCATTGATACATCAGCTTCAACAGACAGCACGGGAAAAGGGTTAGCCTATGAAGAAATGGCATATCAGATCACAAGGAGGCATAACGGGGCCTAAGGCTCCCTGGCTGGCTTCAATGTCTAGGTAAGGTTTAGAGGTGCTCTCACATTTCATGAGGAATCATGGGAAGTTTCAATAACAGTAGTATCAGACAGATACTGGGGTTGTGTTGTTGTTGTTTTGGTTTCCCAGTGTAACCTTGGCTGTCCTGGAACTCACTCTGTAGACCAGGCTGGCCTCAAACTCAGAAATCTGCCTACCTCTGCTGGGAGGAAAGATGTGTGCCACCACTTCCCAGCTTGATGCTGGGTTCTTACAGTGTCTCTTGCAGATGGTTGACAGAAAGGCTGAGGGGAGACAGGGATCACTAAAGAAAGGTCAGTCAGACATTCTAACTCAGAGAGAAGCTAGGGCAGAAGCTGCCAGATAGGCTCTGTCTCCCCAGAGAACCAGTGGGCTTGGCTTCTGCTTCTCAGCTCAAACCTGAGAGCAGGAACAGCTATTTGCTCAGACCAAGAGGCTTTGCCAACCTAATTTTCCTGCTTCAGCAGTACAGGGGACACTATGCCTTCCCCTCTAAGTTGAGACTTGATTTCCACATGAAAATAGTAATAAATCACAAGGAGTACAAGGGGCATGGTTTTCCAAGGACATGGGTTACGCTTATCAAAACCAGTTACAAACAAGACGCCTGGCTCAAGGACAGCTGGGTCTCCTTGTGAAGACCTAAGCCCAAAAGTCTCATCCTTGAACCAGACACAGAACAATCAGCCATGCCTCAGAGGCAGTCGCGGCATTTTCCCCGGAACCCCAAAGGGCAGAGACACGCTCTGCTTTGTGAGGATGACTGGGCCAGGTCATCTGTCAAGGATGACACACACACACCTGCCCTCCTTCCACTCACTTTTCTCTCCCTTTTCCTTCATCCCCCTCCCCCATCTCCAGCAGCAGGTGAGGGCCAAGGCCAAAGGTCAGGGTCAGGGTATGTCTATAGCTTAGATGCATCCTAACGACCTCACTGCCCCCTCAAAGGCTGATAAAAGGTTTCTGTCCAGGATCTTACAGTGGGTTTGCTAGTGTGTTCAGATTCTGCCAGCTTACAGGGGTAGGGCTCAGTTTCTGATCTTGAGGAATTTCTGTTCCCAGGATGTTTTTTGTGAAAACAGAATTCCAATCATCCACCCATCCATTACCTTGGTCTCTTCCAGGATTTCAAGGTGGCACTGAGCTGTTTCCTCTCTCTCGACCAGCAGAGGGCAGAAGTTCCCTGATGAGGAAAGCACCAGCTGCCAGCTTTGTGCTTAGGGAAGCTCCTCCAAGGGCTGGATCAGGCATCTGGTACTTCTATGGAGATACATACACATATACATACATACATGGACTGGGAACCCATAAATGATTCCCAACTCTCTGAAGCTCAATAACAAAATATCTCCCAATGAGGCCACAAATAAGGTTTACGTAGAATTTTAGTTTACTTTCTGGTGCCCTCCTACCTCCTTCTGCTAGGCTAGACCTGTTACTCCTAACTACTGATGATGGAGAAGCTAGTTCAGAGACGCTAGAGAGGCACTGGTGGCACACACTTGTGTGTTAGCATATACCTGTGTGGTGGTACACACCTGCAATCCCAGCATTGGAAAGAGAGAGGCAGGAAGGGTTGGGAGTTCAACAGCATCCAGGACTACAGAGTCCAAGGTCAGACTGGCCCAAGTGAGAGTAACAAGGAGGAGTGGGGGAGAAGCGTGAGTCTGGAGGAACAGAAGCTTCAATTCCCGACTTTGTTGGGATCCTAGCCTTGCCCACGAGGGAGACACTCTCTATATTCACCTAGTTCTTGCATGGGAGTGTGGTGGTGGGGATTGCTGCTTCAGCTGGACAGTCAGATTAGGGTAAATCCCAGGAGCTTCTGTCAAGTTCACAAGACCAAGTCTCTTGGGCATCCACTGTGTTAGTTCTAAAGGCTCAGAAGAAAGGGCATGGGGCCACCGTGGGGTTAAGTTTTGAAGAACACATTCTTGCATACCTGTCTCTTCCTTGTTCTGGATGGGTGGAAGACTCTGAGTCACTAGGCTTGGTGTGGGTTCTGTTCCTGATGGTGGCATGTTTCTCAAGGTGACTCATGGGTAGATGGCAGGTGCTTATATGAAGAGGGTGCCCTAAAAGGGCTTTCCACAGAGCAAGCAATCAGAGCTGAGGCAGAAGAGACAAGCCTGTGCACTGGGGCTCTCCTCAGAGCAGCCCTCACTCCCCACATTACATCAATCAAGCTGACATTTCCTCCCACGAGAAGATGAGACAACGCACATTGTTAAGGAGCTCTGATGTACAAAGAGCTTTTCCCAATATACAGGATTCCTAAGTTACTAAGATAAATGGGGGAAGATTTGACATTTATTGTGCATAATTTAAGTTCAAATAGGTTCCCAGTGAAGAAAAATTGCAAGTTGCTGAGCTGGGTCTGTGCCTTCAGCTCCATGCCTTCTGCTGCCATGCCAGGTCTGCACTGCGCTCAAGCTGCCTTGATCTTATAATTCAGAGAACTAAGCCATATTGCAGAATATTGGGAAGCTGTATTTTTATTTTTGAAATTAACTTATCCCCGTATGTGAATTTTTTCTTCAGAAAAGCACTTAAAATGAGCAAGTGTTTTCCTCTCACTTTAAAATACGGAATTCAAAAATTTTTTTTAAAAAATGCATCATACCGGCATTGGTGGCACATGCCTTTAATCCTAGCACTCGGGAGGCAGAGGCAAGCGGATCTCTGTGAGTTTGAGGCCAGCCTGGTCTACAAGAGCTAGTTCCAGGACAGGCTCCAAAGCTACAGAAAAACCCTGTCTCGAAAAAAAAAAAAAATGCATCAAATAGCTATCAGTTTAAAAAAAAAAAAAAACAACAACAAAAAACGCAGGTATCTATCAAATTTAGAGAGGAAAAGTTTTCCCAAGCCTCTAGGCCAGCTTCCCAGAGACCTGCTGTGCATGGATTCCATCAAGTGTGAGCTCTGCTCCTAATTCAGGGCCTGTTCTGTTGCTCCAAAATATGAACAGAGATGTACCTGAATACCCGTATATCAACTCAGGGTGAACAAACCAAGCTGCACCCTACTATATCAGCAAGGACAGGAGATCTCAGCACGTTGCTTCCCTTTCAGATATGGCAGGAACAGCACCATGGAGGGCAGCAGAGGGGACTGATGCACTGCCATAGGTTAACACCATGGCCTTGGGAGTTGCTGAGTTAATGCAGGTAAGAGGTAAGGCAAGAGCTTTCTACTGACACCAGGACTTATGGAACTTTGTGCTGAGTCTCCATTCCTAGGTAGGAAGCTAGGGTGTGGGGAGAGGTTAGCAGTAAGTGCCTGATTCATACTCCAAGCTCTTCAATGGCCTCTAACTTGCCAATGACATACATGTATAGATACCAGAACATCTTGAAAATCCAATGAGTACAGATTAGGTAATGTACCCGCTTCTGATTCCTTGGGTGACACCTAGAGATTCCAGAAGTGTCACTGGACTTTGGCCAAAAGCAATCTCAGGGATTCCAGGCAAGCAGACTGGCAACTGGGTTAACAACCCCAGCAGAGTATAATTGTCCCAGGGTTCCTGCCTCTCCCTGTCCCCAAGGCTTCTCTATGCTCACCCTTTCTCTTCTCCAGGTTCCTGACCAGCCCCAATGAGCTCCAAAGTCTGAATCAGGATGGTAGCTTAGACTGAAGCTGATGTAGGCATACAGCTGTGTGAGTCAACCAAGTTTCTACAGCCGTGATTAGGCCATGATTGACAGTACTACTTCTCCCACTGAATTCCTATTATCAGGGTTATCAAAAAGCCTTGGAAACAGAACCCTTTAAGAAACTGGAGACTCCTGCTAACCATGATCCTCCCTGCTTACCTGCTCTGGCTACCTGACTACCCAGAACAAGGACTCAGACCAAGGTAGCAGCAGCCCGGGTGTTTCATCCTCTACAAGACAGGTGTGCTGCAGGGGCCTGAACTTCCTCCTTCAGGTTCCATTTCCTGCAGCGGAACCTCTTGGAGGGTGTTCCCCTGCGTGTGCGTGTGTGGGTGGAGCCAGTTCCTTATGTCTCCATGCTGTTCCCCAAGGGAGACAGTCTCATCTGAATGACACCTACTCCACTCCTACTTCAGACACTGAACTTTCCATGCCTAAAGTTAGATACACGCACCCCCTCTGTCCTCTCATTCCTTCCTCAACCCCTATCACCCATCAAGCTCACTGATGTGTCGCCCCCCGCCCCATCCATAGCCTCAGCACCTACCTTTCTGGCTAAAGCCCATATCTCCACTCTTTGCTGAGCTCCCGTGGACTCCCTCCTGTCCCACTCCTTACACGAGACAGATACAGCTCAAAGACGGCCTGCTCCTGATGGACTCTGAGCTCCTGTGCACAGAACTGCATCAGTCTCACTCAACAAAGTATTTGTTCCATTCACTACTTACAGCTGCTGTGGAGACATTAAGACCAGAGAAGGCAGGGGCTAGAGCACAGTAACTTAAAGTCTCTAAGGTATGACCCACAGTTCTCATGAGGGCAGGACCAACTGAGAGAGGAGAACAACAGAGACAAGAGAAGGAAGTGGGGATAGAATGGGGGTGAGGAACAAAGGCAGGTACCATCCTACTCCATATTAAAGTAAGCAATCAAAAATGATGAGGCTGGAGATGGCTCAGGGGTTAAGAGCACTTGCTGCTCTTCCATAGGTCCTGACTTGGTTCCCAGCACCCACATCAGGCAAATCATAACTTCCTGTAACTCCAAAACCGAGGATCCAACTCTTCTGGCCTTAGCACAGACATACATACATTAAAAAAAAAATTATATTTGAGGCTGGGCGGGGTGCTGGTGCAAGCCTTTAATCCCAGAACTCAGGAGGCAGAGGCAGGAGGATCTCTGGGAGTTCGAGGCCAGCCTGATCTATAGAGTCAGTTTCAGGACAGTCAGGACTGTTACACACAGAAACCCTGTCTCAAAAAACAAAAACAAAAAAATTATTAAATTTGGCCTTTTATGTTGACACACAGGGTAGAGGAGGGAGCCTCAACTGAGAAAATGCCTCCAAAAGATCCGGCTGTAGGCAAGCCTGTTGGATATTTTCTTAATTAGTGATTGATGGAGAAGGGTCCAGCACATTGTGGGTGGGGCCACCTCTGGGTTGGTGATACTGGGTTCTACAAGGAAGCAGGCTGAGCAAGCCATGATGAGCAAGTCAATGCGCAACATCCCTCCATGACCTCTACATCAGCTCTTGCTTTCAAGTTCCTACCTGTTTGAGTTTCTGCCATGACTTCCTTTAATGATGAGCTATAATGCGGAAGTTAAGTCAAGTAACCCCACCCGAACTTGCTTTTGGTCATGGTGTTTCATCACAGCAATAGTAACCCTAAGATAGTGGTTCAAGTCTTTAAACCCAACACCCGGGAGGCAAAGGCAGAGGAGTCTCTTGAGTTTGAGGCCAACCTTGTCTAGAGAGTTCCAGGACAACCTGGTAAGGCCCTGTCTCAAACAAAGAAAAAATTTCAATTAATTTGCCATTTATTTATTTATTTATTTTGGTTTTTCGAGACAGGGTTTCTCTGTGGCTTTAGAGCCTGTCCTGGAACTAGCTCTGTAGACCAGGCTGGTCTCGAACTCACAGAGATCTGCCTGTCTCTGCCTCCCCAGTGCTGGGATTTAAGGCTTGCGCCACGCCACCATCACCTGGCTTAATTTGCCTTTTAAAAAAGAAAATAAAACGATCAAAGTCAAACCCATCCAAAGTCACTGTAAGGAGTCTAACCCCATTGACAGCAGCAACACAGAGGTCAAACTGTGACCCAATACTTCAAAACAAACCACAAGAGCTAGTTCAGCACTAAAATCTGCTCTTCAACATCTAGTGATCTGTGACTACACCAATGGTCACAGTGCAGCTATGCAGAGGGGACTGAGATCTGGGTAAGGACAGTCCATTTAAGAGGGGAGGAAGCTGAGGTTCTGAGATGTGATCTTCACAGAGTCTGTCTGGTATCTAAATCTCCGCTGTCACAGTGCTGGATCCAAGATAGAGCTTGAGCTGGGGAGGGATGCACAGAGCAGCAAGAGCCTGCTCTCCAGATTCTTCAGATAGAACGTGCAGAAGCTGTGTGTGCCAGCTGCAGAAACGGACTGACACCCACTCTTCCCTACTGCACTTCAGTGATGTCAGGCTGGTAGCAATGAGGGTGGTAGAGATGGCTATCTCCTCCTGATACTCGCCCTCCCCTTGAGCCTTCTCCTCCTTCTTCTTTATACTCAAGAGTTCATTTCACAATACACACTGCCCATCATTAATTATGAGGGCAGCTACCTACAAGTCTGCCCATTCTGTCTACCATTCTTCATAAAGATGCTGGCCAGGCCTGACAGTAGTGGTGCAGGCCTTTAATCTCAGCACTGAGAAGGTAGAGGCAGGTGGATCTCTGAGTTCGAGGCCAGCCTGGACTACAGAGTGAGTTCCAGGACAGCCAGGGCTGTTAAAGAGAGAAATCTTGTCTCAGGAAAAAAGATAAATAAATAAAAATAAAAAACAAACAAACAAAAAAAAACAGAACAAAAGATGCAGCCCAGGGCACACGGACACACATCTGACAGTGGGAGCCATTTTAACTTTTGCATGTTTTAAACATGCAGCTACAATTTGGCAGAATGGAATGTTTCACAACCCTGGTGTTACTTGAAATATCCATGCTCTACATGGAGTCCGAATACATTTAACTTAGGCCCCAAATCCACAAGCAGTCTCCTTCCAAGGCTTGGAATTCCTTCCTCATTCCCTTTGGCTGCCCAGGGTCAGCTCCTCCCCAGCATGTCCTCCCAGGGTTATACGTGTGCTCTTAACAATCCTGAAGCTCTGGGGTGTCACCTGCCACTATTCCCACACCTTCAATGCCCACGTCTCCCCTCTTATTCTTTCTTCTCCAATTGTCTCACACACCCAGACACCTGCAGCTCATTTCATCCTCCTACTTACCGCAGACAGTTTCTTTCAGAAGCAACCCTAGGTGTTGTGACGGTAGGCTCTGTTCCATCATGACTCTCCCTAACTTACAGCCAGAGTCAGCCATTTCATCAGAATCCACCTCCTGAAAATGGCTTCCTGTTCTGTCCCCCTGCCCCTACCTCCTTGCCTCCACTACTATGACTAGCCTTCCTCGGCCATTTGCCCCGGTTTCTTGCTGCTCCTTAAATATATCAGAAGCTAGGTGTGGTGGAGGCCAGCCTCAGGTTACATGACAAGACCCCAACCAATGTGCATATGTGTGTGTGTGTGTGTGTGAGAGAGAGAGGGGGGGGAGGGAGGAGGGAGGGTGAGAGGGGAGGAGAAGGAGGAGGGGAGGGAGGGAGAGAGACTGAGATTGCATAAGGATAAATTCAAAGAACGAAAGAAGAAAAGGTCAGGGTGGACCTGCGTGTGCACTGGCTGTTCCCACTTTTAGCAGCTGCCTAAGTCTTTGCAGGGCTTGCACTCTTGTCTCCTCCAATTGCTTGCTCTCTTAAGACGCCAGCTCTCCTGTTCCTATATCCTTTCCCTCCTTCGCTACTGTATTTCTCTGTGCTCTACCTGACTGTCCCCATGTTTTCGTATTGTCTCTTCTCCACTGAGGAGTAAGCTTCACCAGGACGAACGAATCAACTCTACACAAGCAGCATTCCAGGCAAGACAGAGAGAACAGGCAAGAGCCTGCTAAAAAGGCAGATGAGCATTTGTGGAGAATGCTCTGACTTGGAACAACTGCCCTCTAGTGGTGCAATACGCCCACTGCCAACCTCACAGTATCTATGAAAATTGATTTGGAATACGTCAAGCCCACCAACGAATAACCCTTCTGTATGCTAGAAAAACACACCCACAAATAAAGCAAAAGACGACAACGGCTCCATGGGGCTATACTGCGAGATCAAGGAACCTCTGAAGGTGCACTCTCATGCTAACGGTGCGCAAAAGCTAAGAAAGATCCTGGGGCAAGAGAGCGTGGGAGATGGGCAAAATTACGCACTCAGGTGCTGGGCTCCAGATGCTGAAGATTCAGAGGCCCCGCCTGCCCACGGCCGAGCGCTCTCTATTGGCAGATTCACGGAGGTACTGCGTTCCCGTTGGTTCAGCAGTGGGAAGGGTCCGGGCCTACGAGCAGCGAGTCCAGCCGGCCGCAGAAGCCAAGTCTGAAGCTCTTAAAGACGCAGGGGTGTCGCGTCCTGGCCCTTAACACAATTCGAGAAGGCCGCCTGTACCTGTCGGCGGACTATTCCAAGACACTCTTTCCACGGCCCGCAGCGGCTACGCGGTTCCAGGCTCGAGACGGCTCGCGCAGACGCAGTCGGCGCACGGTGCGCCCCCGGCAGCCCCCGCGGCACTGGCCGTCGGAGGAGGCGGAGGGGGATGACGTCATCCAGCGGGGCGACGGGCATTGGGCGCCATTTTGAAAAGGGAAAAAAATTCCCTCCCCGGCGGCGGCGGGAGCGGCGGCGGGAGCGGCGGCGGCGGCCGGGTCTGAGCGCTCGGAGCGCCTCGGTCGGCCGCGCTCGGCTGGGCGCGTCCCGCCCGCTCCATGGCAGGTAAGGGCCGTGCGCGAGCGGGCGGGTGGACGGACGGTGGTGGGACGGGGCGGGGCCGGCCTGACGGGCGCGCTCTGTTGCAGGAGCCGGAGGAGGCGGCTGCCCGGCGGGCGGCAACGACTTCCAGTGGTGCTTCTCGCAAGTGAAGGGCGCTGTCGACGAGGACGTGGCGGAAGGTGAGGTCCGACCGAGACCCGGGCGCAAGGTCACTCTCGGCCGCCGGCCCGGATGCGGCGGCCTTTGCCCGCCTGGCCGGCGCTGTCCTGGGAGACCCTCGGCCGGCCGGCGGCTGAAGAAAGGGAGGGGCGGCCGTGGGGAGCCGGCTGGGGATGCCTGCGTGGGGAGAAACTGCAGTGGAGGCCCGCCTCGCGGGTCTGTTGGGGAGACGGCACCGGACGCTAGTCTCGGGAGGCTGTGGGGAGATGGCCGTGGACGCCGACCTCGGGGGTCAGTGGGCAGATGGCCGTGGAGGCCAGCCTCGGAAGGCTGTGGGGAATCCGAGGAGGTAAGGCGGGAGACACAGATCAAGGCATGCGGGGTAAGGTAGGCTTGTGGCCACAGGTCTCTGGAGTCTAGGGTGTACAACTGTCTTGATTGCAGGCCCCCAGAGACTGTAGAGAGACAGGGCTGTAGACGCTGAGATTGAGCTAGGAGCTGGTACTATAGGATGAGATGAGGCCCAATGGGGGGGGGGGGGCCGGTAATGGTCCTTAGTCTTGAGGCCCTGTGGGGTGAATCAGGTCTCAGACACTGATGTAGGGGCCCATGTAGTATAAAAGGGGACCATGGACTCTGTTTTCCTTGACGCTTGTACAGGGAAAAGGAGATCCAGGCAGGGTTATTGGTCTCTGGGCCTCTTCGGTGTGAGCCTGGACTCTGAGACACTGGCTGCTCCGGTGCTCTCCCCGGTGGCCTAGGTGTGCCAGGCTGCCCGATCCTGTCTCGGGCCAGATAGACACTGGTCTTGAGCAAGAGGGACTTACCTGGCCATGAGGTCTCCTGAAGCTCTGCAGTAGTGGCGTTCCACTGCTCAGTGTTTTCTCTTCCTCCGCTGCTCTTTCAAAGTCACTTCCCCAGACTGCATTCTGCTTTTTGTTTTAGTTTGGTTTGAGTTTGTTTGGTTGAGAAAAAAGTTCTTGGTGCTATAGCCCAGGCCTTGAACTCCAAGGCAATCCTGTCTGCCCCCATCCTGCCCAAGTGCTGGGATTTCTCAAGCATATACTTTTCTCCTCTGCGATATTATTTGTTTATATTGTGTGTTTGTGGGTGTGTTCCTGACCCTACACAGGTTGAGGTTAAAGGACAACTTGTCAAGAGTTGATTCTTAACCAGGTGAGTCCCAGGTGACTTTACCTGCTCAGCCGTCATACCATCCTCTCCTCCCCACTTACTCCTTCAAATTTACTTGTTTTCTGTTTTGTTTTTGTTTGTTTTTTGAGACAGGGTTTCAAGTAGCCCAAATTAACCTCACACTCCCCGTATAACTGAGGCTGGCCTTGAATTCTCTCTCCACACAACAGCCCTGGCTGTTCTGAAGCCAGGTTTGTACACCAGGTTGTCCTCAAACTCACCGAGATCTGCCTGCCTCTGCCAGAAATTGAAGGTGTCAGCTTCCTGAGTGCTAGGATTGAAAGTGTGCCCTGCCACACCCGGCTTTGGCCTTGAATTCTTTGGCACGCACCAAGTTGCTTTATCTTTATCACAACTTTAATGAATCTTTGTTGCGGGTCAGTAGGCGGGGAACTGAGGGAGCTTGAGGGTCGTGGAATAAAACCTTAGAGACCTGAGCATTAATGTTTTATGTCAGTCCTTGCAACTTGTTCAGCCATCTAATAAACATGGACCTTTCACGTTGTTTTAAAAGGAGTCTGTTCATCCACCCACCTTCCTTGCCACCAGCAGCCTCTACTCGGGGTCCTGTCCTGCTTCTTGTTTCCCTCCCTCAGTGTCTCGCTTGACTCTTGACCCTTGAACTTCTGGAGGCCTATGGTCCCAGGGGACAAGACCAAACCAAGTTGTCTTGGCCCATAACTGCTCTCCGAAAGTTGCAGAGGTACATGGTTTGAGATTGAAGCCAGATGACTTTTATGTGAAGTAGTTTATTGATTTTGTTTCTTCTGTATTGGCATAAACTATATTACTGTGTTTCATTTTGCATGTGCCAAGTAGGTGATAGGTCAGCCTTTCTCCTGTGATTTATTGTAACTGTGGTAATAATGGTGAGTCAGCCTTAATTTCTGGTTTCTGTGTGGTTTTATTTTTTTTTAACTGATAGGTTAAATGAATTTATACTGACTTTATAGAAAGTTTAAATTTATAGAAAATGGCATTCTTCGGCAGTAACACACACCCTTAAATCCCAGCAGGGAGGCAGAGGCAGGCGGATCTCTGTGAGTTCAAGACCAGCCTGGCCTACAAGAGCTAGTTTCAGGACAGGCTCCAAAGCTACAGAGAAATCCCATCTCGAAAAACCAAAAAGAAAAAAGAAAGAGAGAGGGAGAGAGAGAAAATGGCATTCTTTTCTATAGAAATTTTAGCAGAAATATTTTGTTGCTTATGTTAAAACTGATTAGATTTTTTTGTGTTGTGTTTTAAGTTTTGTTTGTTTGTTTGTTTGTTTTGTTTGTTTGTTTCTAGACAAGGGTTTCTCTGTAGCCCTCGCTGTCCTGGAACTCTGTGTTCCTGGGTGGCCTTGAGCTCAGAGATCTGCCTGCCTCCACCCCAGATTAAAGGCTGTGTTCACGTACCACCTCTGCCTGACTTTTTGTTGTTGTTTTGTTTTGTATTTTTTTTTAACCTCTATTTTAAGTAAAACTTGAATTTTAGTTGGCACGTCTTTTGAATGTGTGTATAATACTGTGGTAATTACCTGTATTTTTCTTTTTAATTGTATGTTCTGTGTTTTAATCCAAATACTTCTTAGTCCATCATTTATAATATCATTGTTTTTATCAGACGGAACTTTGGTGTTGTTTGAGTTATCAGTGGTTGTTTAAAAAGGCAAAGGTATTGGCAACTAGGACTTGTAGCAACAAGAATCACTACCTCAGTCCTATCCAAACTCAAACTTGAAGAAGAAATGTTAGTGAGAGATAATTAGAAGGTGGCATTTCAAGGGGTTTATTTCATGTGCTGATGCCTGGATTTGAGAACCTAAGGTATGGCCAGATTTATCTGTTGAAACTTGTAGCCTATGAGGCTTTTTGTTCAGCTCTGCAAAATTCCATGTAGCCCTGCTCCTGACTTGTCTTTCTGCGGTCCTGGCCACAGACAGTCAGATGTGTCCTAGAGATTAAGTCTGAGGTCTTCTGACCTGGCAGGCAATACCCAGAGAGCATGAGGGACAGAGGGCAGGGCAAGATAAAAAGGGCTTTTGTTTCTTTTTGTTTTTGTTCTGTTTTTAACCTAATAACCTCTGATACAATATTGAACTGCATGCACTTTATGTGTATAAGAATTAGAGCAGGCTGGAGAGATTGCTCAGTGGTTAAAAGCACTTAGAACCTTCCAGAGGTTCTAAGTTTAGTTCCCAGCAAATATAATGGTGTTTCACAACCATCTATAATGGGATCTGATTCCCTGTTCTGGCACACGGCCATATATGCAGACAGAGCACTAATAAACTAATAATACATAAATAAATACACATACAATAAAAAAAACAGAATTTTCTGTGAGTCAGGTCACCATTTCTGCTCAAAGTCATGGTTTCATTGTGTGGTCTGTGAGTTTCACAGACCCGCAAATGGAAGCAAGCTGGGCGCGCAGGAAAATTAGTAATTGTCCTATTGTTGGCCAGATGGGAGCATGTCTGACAATAGTGATTGGCTTTTCTTCCCGTGTTGGAGAGTAGACTAGAAAGGAAGAATCAAAATGGCAAACTCTGGGGACTTACAAGTACTAGGCTTTAGTTACTGCTTTGGGGTTGGTTATTTGGGCAGATTTTGTGATGTGCAGTGACTCACAACTAGCTCCTACTCTATCCCTGAACTTGGTGAATATTACATGACATTACAATCTTTTGTGTGTTTGGACTTGGTATACTGAGTCCTCAAGACTAGAGACTGGCTGCTAGCTAACCCTTGCACAGGATCTAGTCAAAATGCAGTGATAGCTAACATTAATGGTTTGTGTGCCAGAAATTGTGCAGAGGCACTACCTGTGCCAGTTAACTTTACCTTTACCCATCTGAAATGTTGCTCTTCCCAGTTTCAGATGTACAGACAAGGCTCAGTCAGCTCCATAGCCATACCAGAACAGAGTGAGGGTGTGGAATTATGCTCCCTGTTTCCAAAGCCTGTGTGTGCCTTGCTGTTCTGGGAACCAGTATTAGCTAGCCCTGGGGAAGCCCCTTGTGGAATCTAACTGTCCATTTAGCAGAC